CACTCACTGACCACAGACACTCACTGACCACAGACACTCACTGACCGCAGACACTCACTGTCCACAGACACTCACTGACCGCAGACACTCACTGACCGCAGACACTCACTGACCGCAGACACCCACTCATTTATCACAGACATCCACTGTCTGCATTTACCACACAGTCATCATCAGGTGCCTTGCCGACTAGCGTGGGCGATCATGACTCTCCATAATCTGTGATCTCCTGCAGCATGTATCAGTTTGTGTGCCAACACACCTTCATGCCATGCAACAAGACTGTCAAGCATCTTTTCTCATTGTTTTCCTCTATCCCTCCTTCCACAGATCTTTCCAGTGGTCACAACATGTTCTATTTTCCCTCTTCTCATAACATGGCTGAAAAATGATGACTGTCTCCTTCTGATGTCTGTCATCAGTTGTCTTCGGGCTCCCGCCTCTTTCAAAACCTCTTGGTTTGCTCTTTTTGGCTGTCCAAGGTATTTTAAGTATTCTTCTGTCAAACCAAATCTCTGAGGCCTCAAGAAATTGTTCGGCCTGCCTACCGATTGTCCAGGATTCACAGCCATATTTTTAAACTTGATGTATGTAGCAAGCAAGAATTCTTTTTCGAACTCAATGACAAGGATATATTGCACAAGATGTTTTTCATTTAATAAAATGAAGTTTTTGTCTGTCATATTCTGTTTCTTATCTCAGTACCACAGACTTGACACTCATTTACCACAGACACTCATTTACCACAGACACTTATTTACCACAGACACTCACTGACTACAGAGAACTGACCACAGACACTCATTTACCACAGACACTCACTGACTACAGAGAACTGACCACAGACACTCATTTACCACAGACACTCACTGACCACAGACACTCACTGACGCACATCTGTTGTACAGATCTTTCTGATTTGTATACAGACTGCTGGTTCTTCGGCCGTCATGCAGATGCACTTGACTTCAATAGAAACACGGTTAACTAATTGCATTTGACGACAAAGACTGGGGCCACACGGGAATTATATATGTCATATTTGGAATATATTATCATTATTTTTCGGTCATTATTGTTGTTTACTTTAACAAGGCCTCTTTTCCCAATTTTCCACCGAAAAGTGAACTTTGCGTTGTCGAGAATCTTCTCTCTCTCTCTCTCTCTCTCTCTCTCTCTCTCTCTCTCTCTCTCTCTCTCTCTCTCTCTCTCTCTCTCTCTCTCTCTCTCTCTCTCTCTCTCTCTCTCTCTCTCTCTACAATAATCACTGTCTCTTTCTGGTGTTTGTGCTAAGTTCTCGCCTCTGTCAAAACATCCGGGTCGCTCTTGTTGGCTCTCCATGGAATTCTAAGTATGTGTGTAAGGGGCTTTTTTTCCATAAAGAAATGTGCTGGTACCCGTCATAGGGTGTTCATCGTATGGTTTTCGGGGCCCTGTTGAAGGGAAAACAAGATTAGACCCACTGCTTTCCCAACAATCATGTCGTAAGAGTCGACTAAGGGCTTGCTTTGAAGTCGGCGTGCATCTGACAGAGCGATCCAGACCAGCCAACTGCAGACATATAAACCAGTAAGACGGAGGATATACACGCAAAACTCCAGCTCTGCAAAAAGACGCAGTCCGAACTGAGGAACAACCAGGACTTTTCACAGGGGCGTTCAGCCGGTGAACAAACAAAAAGAAGAACACAAAGTGCCGGCACTAACTACAAAGTATCTATTATAATTGTGTTTAAGCATCACATCGCATCTGTGGTAGTAATTATAGCAGGTCTATTCAACTGACGGGCCGATTTTCTGCAGCATGTATCAGTTCGTGTGCTGACACACCTCCGTGCCATGCAACAAGACTGTCAAGCATCTTCTCTCGTTGTCAACCTCTATCCATCCTTCCACAGATCTTTCCAGTGGTCACAACATGTTCTATTTTCCCTCTTCTCATAACAAGGCCGAAAAATTACGACTGTCTCCTAATGATGTCTGTGATAAGTTGTCTTCGGGCTCCCGCCTCTTTCACAACCTCTTGGTTGCTCTTTTTGACTGTCCAAGGTATTTGAAGCATTCTTCTGTCAAACCACATCTAGGAGGCCTCAAGAAATTGTTTGGCCTGCCTACCGATTGTCCAGCATTCACAGCCATGTGTTATAACTGGATGTATGTAGCAAGCAAGAATTATTTTTCTAACCTTCAATGACAAAGATAAATTGCACAATATGTTCTTCATTTTATAAAATGCAGTTTTTGCCTGTCCTATTCTGTTTCTTATCTCAGTTATACATCTTCCATCTGATGTTATCCATGTGCCCAGATACTTGAATTTCTGTACTTGTCCCAAAATAACACCATCGACTTTTATTACACATTTAGGGATAATTCGTTTGTTTGATACCATTATTACTTCTGTCTTCCCATTATTCAAACTGAGGCCCATTCTATCACTTTCTAACACCACAATGTCTATCATTTTCTTTAGTTATTTCTGACTTGTTGCTATCAAGACTGTGTCATCAGCATAACGTAAATTGTTTATAGTGTGTCCACCAACCACAGTTCCGATCATATCAATTAAAGATCTCAGTATATATTCAATATTCACTGTATAGTGTTACTGGACTTCCGGAATGGCGGTGCTAGCAACCATGATTATTTCAAAGCAAAAACTGTGCGTATTCAATTGGTTGTCATCGCTTAAATTAAACCTCTTACCAGTTCAAACACATGACGGCAATGTTTTCCACCGCTGGTTACTCGAGGATAACAGGTTTCTTTACTTGTTGTCTTGTTGGTTATACTGGCTGTGGTAGAAACAACAGGCGAGCTGGAGTTTGTAGCTATCCTTGCGACGTCATCAGTGATTCCTGGGGTGGTGTCTATTCAAAGTATTTCAATAAATCAACTAGTATATTTAACTTCAGAGAGAGTCTTGTCAGCAAGAGCTTCACAGTGTAGCAGATGTTCAAGACTGCAGAAAGTTTTCTAACGTCCATGGGATTTAGCAAAATGTTGCCTTCTTTCTGGGAGAAGTCCGGGTAGATGGAACCCGTTAGCTTTGCACAGCAGTCCATCTAGAAGACGGCAAACTCCGAATTTAAACCCCCAAGTTCAAGGTGGGCCAACGTGCTGAGGAACTGCATGGCCACGGGTAAGCTGGACGTTGGACGTCTGGCGAGCGTGCGGGGCAGCACCAGGCGTATGGACTCCTACGGAACATCAATTGCCCCTTCCCTAGCAGGCAGGCAATACTAGGGCGACCGGTCATTTCCTGCAGTACTCTATCTTTTCGTATGGATTTAAAAAATATACATAAGAATCGTCGCCGGAGCTACAGGGCACGTGCTCTGCGCTTGACACATTATTCAGCGGTTAGTGAAGAGGGAGTGAGGAGGAGACGACGAGGAAATGGGGAGAGAAGAAGGCATAGAAATAGGAGGGCGGGTGCCAGGAGAACAAGACGAAAAGCAGAGAGATTGAGCTTTAATCATGTAAAAGTAGGATACTGGAACTGTCGGAGTGCTAGGCAGAGAGGTCCTGTACTGGAGAGGTTGATTCTTGATTTTGATGTCATGATGCTCCAGGAGTTAAATACAGACATATATCATTGCCCGGGGTACGTCAGTTATATAAACCCTGTTGGACAGTAGAGACATGGACAAGGTCTGGTGATGAAGGAGGGAGTGAAGCATGTGGTGCTTGACTTGAGCCAGTGGAACCACAGTGGACGAGAGGTTCAAGGGATACAGGTGGAAATTGGTGGCTTAAGTTGGAACCTGATAAATATATATGCCACGGTAGACTGTTTTGTCAGAAGTGAACAATGGAGCTGGCTCAAGGAATTGGAGGAGTTACCAAGTGGTAGGTTACTCATATGTGGGGATTTCAACGCGAGAATGGGACGTGGGGATTTCAACGCGAGAATGGGACAGCAGCGGAGAAAACCGACAGGGAATTGCTCTTGCAGAGGCCATGGTTGACTCCGATATGGTCTGCATCAATGATGGGAGGCCGACTAGAATGGCAATGAGGTCTGGAGAGCGGACACAGCTATTGACTTGATATTTGTCTCTCAGTCGTCGGTTTTAGATGTTAAATGGACTGTCCTGAATGACCATGGAAGTGATCACCTACCATGTTCAGTCTTGATTTCTAAACACAGTAAGGTTAAGGTTGGGAGAGCACGCAAGACCTTCCAGTATAAGTGGACCAACAACTTACTTGGACGCCTCAGACGGGGAGCATGCAAAAGAACTGCCAGAACTGATTTTTTACGGACCCCCATGGTGGACTCCAGAAGTAGAACAGGCATGGAAGGCAAAGAGAGCCGCAGTGAAGCAGCTAAAGAAAGAACGACAGACACCCTCAAGCTCACGAGAGGAAGTGGAGATGGCGGAGAATGTAAAAAAAGATAAGGTGGAGGTTTTCAAGCGCTGTGCTGCAGAGGCCAAAAGAGCAAAGTGGGAAACTTTTGTGAATGACATGGGAGTCGATAAAACATTGGGGAAATTCTGGAAACTGCAAAGGGTAAGTCTTGTATTCCGTCGGTTTTATTTGGTTTGACTCCAATAGCCTTTTGTCTAAAAAGACTTACCCTGCCATGCAGCAAAAAAAAGGGGGAAAAGGGGGGGGGGGGGGTTATGGTGCCTCTTACCTGCCGATGGCCATGTCGTAGATTTTTGAGTAATTTTATATAGTAGTCCAACTAACTCGCTTCCTCTAAATGACCATCCCCTGCTTTGGTCCACGGCCACTTATTCTATATATTCGTGGCTAACCTTTATATCTAGAGGCCTTTTCACCATCCCCCACCTTGTGGACGCGCCTAGTAGTAGGACAGATAGAAACATATAGCCTTCCCTTACGTTATTGTACAATGTGTATGGTGTGTGAGAAATTGTTTCGTTGATAAATCTCGCATCTATAATTTGAGAAACTCCGGATGTCGCTTGTGACTGTGAAGATCTCGCAAAGATGGCCGCCAGTGTTTACAACGAGGAGATAGCTGCTATGTGTCCGCTCATCAATTCTGCTTCCCTTCAGGAATATCCCTTCGATATTTATGTGGGAACCAGCACTGGATTCTTGAAAGGATGCAAGCTTGACAAGCAGAAAGCGTACAATATTAATATCGTTGCTGCCTCAACAGCCAGAGAGTCAGAGATCACCTGTGTGGACTGGTGGAACAACAACGTGTCTTGCCTTCTGACTGCACGCAGAGACGGTCGTGTCTTCTCCTTGAATCCTCAAACAGGCATGTCAGTAAGAGTTCCTGTACACATTCCTGATGGATCGCCAACGATAAAACGTGTTCAGGGTGACGATAAGCTGACACTGACTGGCTGGAGTAACGGGACTGTTAGCGGTGGTACTGTCGATCTACTGTCGGAACATGTTTCTGTGGCCGATGAGGGATCAGCCCTGGAGCCGGCTGTGCTGATCCGTGCTGGTAGTGAACTATCATGTATGGATTATAGTGCTTCACACTTGCTGGCTACAGGCGGCAAAGAAAATCCGCTGAAGATCTGGGATATAACATCAACACAGCAGCCAATATTCTGTGCCAAAAATGTGAAAAATGATTTCTTAAATTTACGTGTGCCGGTGTGGGTCACACATGCCGAGTTTCTGCCTGGAAGCAAGAAAATTGTCACCAGCACTGGGTACTCCCAAATACGATTATATGATACATCGACTCCTCAACGGCGACCAGTGATTGAAGTTCAACTGAATGATAAGAACAAAAAATATCCAATTACAGCACTAGCCAAAATTCCAAACTGTGATCTTCAGTTTGTGGTAGGGACAACAGTTGGTACTCTAGCACTAGCGGATCTTCGTAAACAAGCCATAGTTAAACATTTCAAAGCTGGTACGGGTGGTGGAATTACAGATGTCAAATGTCACCCATCATCTCCAACGTTTGCAAGTGGTAGCATTGATGGGTATGTTCATTGTTTTGACCTGAACACGTCTAAGAAGGTCCACTCAATGTATTTACATTCCCCGGTCAACTGTTTGCTGTTTTCGCCAGAAGTGTCGCCATCAGGTCAGAAGAATCAGGAACTTAGTGAGGAAGTTTGTCGATCTGAACAAGCAGAGAGTGAGGATGTTGAGCAGGAGGCTGATGATGTTTGGGACCAGTTGCAGGTTGTCCGGATGAAGAAACATAAATTGACGTCAGCGTCCGATAGACCAAAAAAGAAAAAGAAACTGACACGACTGGCGGTCAAATAAACAGTGGTTAGTTGATTTTTTTTGGTCTCACTTGGATTACAATGGATGTCCACACAAACGTACGTCTTTGGGCTAGGGTAGTTGTGATACTTTGACTGTCATTGATATTCACATATACTTTGACATTCACATATACTTGCCTGCAGGGAAGGTGGTGACATATGTTGCGTCGCTGTTGTCAGAATTTGCATTGTTTTGGAGACATGGCTGTAATTGTCGGCCAGGGAGTATCTTGTGCATGTTTGTTTTTTGTGTGGTTTTTTTAAAAACTATTTTGAGATAGAATCGTTCATATTGTGTTTATTAATTTTTTTAAATTAGTTCTCTCCTATTATAAATTTAGTAAATTTTAGAACAATTACTGACGTACCATCTGTATGCAGTGAAAGTGAGATATCCGAGTCCGATGAAAATGAGCTAAGAGTTTACAATGAAAGATATCCATGTGTTACAGAGACAAGTCTACTTCAGAGGGTTATGGCTGTCATAATGGCTAGCCACATTTGTGGCAGCTGGAGCAGACTGCTTGCCTCCTGTTGGTGGCTTGTTGGCAGCTGAAGCAGAATGCTTGCCTCCTGTTGGTGGCTTGTTGGCAGCTGGAGCAGACTGCTTGCCTCCTGTTGGTGGCTTGTTGGCAGCTGGAGCAGAATGGTTGCCTCCTGTTGGTGGCTTGTTGGCAGCTGGAGCAGAATGGTTGCCTCCTGTTGGTGGCTTGTTGGCAGCTGAAGCAGAATGGTTGCCTCCTGTTGTTGGCTTGTTGGCAGCTGGAGCAGAATGGTTGCCTCCTGTTGTTGGCAGCTGGAGCAGACTGCTTGCCTCCTGTTGTTGGCAGCTGGAGCAGACTGCTTGCCTCCTGTTGGTGGCTTGTTGGCAGCTGGAGCAGAATGCTTGCCTCCTGTTGGTGGCTTGTTGGCAGCTGGAGCAGAATGCTTGCCTCCTGTTGGTGGCTTGTTGGCAGCTGAAGCAGATTCTTGCCTCCTGTTGTTGGCAGCTGGAGCAGAATGGTTGCCTCCTGTTGTTGGCAGCTGGAGCAGAATGCTTGCCTCCTGTTGTTGGCAGCTGGAGCAGAATGCTTGCCTCCTGTTGTTGGCTTGTTGGCAGCTGGAGCAGAATGGTTGCCTCCTGTTGTTGGCTTGTTGGCAGCTGGAGCAGAATGCTTGCCTCCTGTTGTTGGCAGCTGGAGCAGAATGCTTGCCTCCTGTTGTTGGCTTGTTGGCAGCTGGAGCAGAATGCTTGCCTCCTGTTGTTGGCTTGTTGGCAGCTGGAGCAGAATGGTTGCCTCCTGTTGTTGGCTTGTTGGCAGCTGGAGCAGACTGCTTGCCTCCTGTTGTTGGCAGCTGGAGCAGAATGCTTGCCTCCTGTTGTTGGCAGCTGGAGCAGAATGCTTGCCTCCTGTTGTTGGCTTGTTGGCAGCTGGAGCAGAATGACTGAGAATGCTTGCCTCCTGTTGTTGGCAGCTGGAGCAGAATGCTTGCCTCCTGTTGTTGGCAGCTGGAGCAGAATGCTTGCCTCCTGGTGTTGGCTTGTTGGCAGCTGGAGCAGAATGCTTGCCTCCTGTTGTTGGCTTGTTGGCAGCTGGAGCAGAATGACTGAGAATGCTTGCCTCCTGTTGTTGGCTTGTTGGCAGCGGGAGCAGAATGCTTGCCTCTTGTTGGCAGCTGGAGCAGAATGCTTGCCTCCTGTTGGTGGCTTGTTGGCAGCTGGAGCAGAATGCTTGCCTCCTGTTGGTGGCTTGTTGGCAGCTGGAGCAGACTGCTTGCCGCTTGTTGGCAGCTGGAGCAGAATGCTTGCCTCCTGTTGTTGGCTTGTTGGCAGCGGGAGCAGAATGCTTGCCTCCTGTTGGTGGCTTGTTGGCAGCGGGAGCAGAATGCTTGCCTCCTGTTGGTGGCTTGTTGGCAGCGGGAGCAGAATGCTTGCCTCCTGTTGGTGGCTTGTCATTGACTTTGCTTCTCTGATGTCATCAGTCAGTAAAAAAAAGTTTCATTTTGTTTGTCCTGTTATGAATGCTAAGTGCGCAACCATTTTATCTGTGACTTTTGTGAGTAATTTAGAATTGGTTTTGTACCAACTTGTTCTCTTTTGGCTTCAGCCCTGATTTGATCTCTTCTGTTCATTCTTGTAGCTTTCTCAGACGTGTCATGATTGTTTATTGTTGCAGAGATGTATGATGATGTTGTAGCAGACATGTACAATGATACATTTGTTGTATTTAGGCACAGCTTCCAGGTCATCCTGTTTATCTGATTTGTAAATTTTTCATCAAAAGCAATTTTGCCTAAAATAGTTAAATGTGGCAAGAAAACTCAAATGATGATCAGCAGTACTTGAGTAGTAATTTGATGTCATTGGTCATGTCTGTTGAAAGTCCAGGATGCCATTAATATGTCAGTGGTCATATCTGTTACAACATATCAAGGCAAAACTTCTGGCCAAGAGAAACACAGATGCAAGCCAACTATACGGGTCGCTGTTTGAAGGACAACAGACAGTAAAGTTCATACTAGAGACAGCGTTGCAGATAAAGATAATCTGTTACAAGCGAATGCAAGAAGAAGACGATGTCTGTTGAAAGTCTAGGTTGCTGCAAAGCATTATTTTGTAGGTTATTTTATTTAATCCTTGAGTGAGTACCCGGTACAGTCCTGGGAAGTCAAGGCGACCGGCATTATGCTGACCACATCACCTGTCTTGTGCCGATGGTCTGTACACAAATATAGGTCTAGTCTTGATGCCTAAAGGCCTGCACAAGGGACCTTTAATGTTTTATTTTATTTTATTTGTTGTAGTCAAAAAATGAATCATGAAAGCAAAAACTATCCCTCGACAGTTGTTGTCTGGGTCCCTCGACGGTTGTTGTCTGGGTCCCTCGACAGTTGTTGTCTGGGTCCCTCGACAGTTGTTGTCTGGGTCCCTCGACAGTTGTTGTCTGGGTCCCTCGACAGTTGTTGTCTGGGTGCCACGACAGTTGTTGTCTGGGTCCCTCGACAGTTGTTGGCTGGGTCCCTCGACAGTTGTTGTCTGGGTCCCTAGACAGTTGTTGTCTGGGTCCCTCGACAGTTGTTGTCTGGGTCCCTCGACAGTTGTTGTCTGAATCCCTCGACAGTTGTTGTCTGGGTCCCTCGACAGTTGTTGTCTGGGTGCCACGACAGTTGTTGTCTGGGTCCCTCGACAGTTGTTGTCTAGGTGCCACGACAGTTGTTGTCTAGGTGCCACGACAGTTGTTGGCTGGGACAGCTGACAGTGACCTTTTGCTGTTATATGTGAAAGATGTTCACTCAAACTTTTCTCTCATGTATGCAGTCATTCCTTCTTTCATTTGTGATCCTGTTGTGCCATTTGGTGTCACACAGGACTCGCAGTCTGTTCCTTTATTCTATTTTGTCCTGTGCAAGCACAGAATTTCTCATCGGTGTTCATTTTGGTCATCCATCTCTCTTTAATTCCCCCCCCCCCCCCCAGTGCCTGTTTGGTGATTCTCTGCCTGTTTCTCCTCAGAATGTATCCAGTATAGTGTCACCTTCTCTGCATGTTTCTGCTCAGAATGTATCCAGTATAGTGTCACCTTCTGCCTGTTTCTGCTCAGAATGTATCCAGTATAGTGTCACCTTCTGCCTGTTTCTGCTCAGAATGTATCCAGTATAGTGTCACCTTCTCTGCCTGTTTCTGCTCAGAATGTATCCAGTATAGTGTCACCTTCTCTGCCTGTTTCTGCTCAGAATGTATCCAGTATAGTGCCACCTTCTCTGCCTGTTTCTCTTCAGAATGTATCCAGTATAGCCCCATCTTCTCTGCCTGTTTCTCCTCAGAATGTATCCAGTATAGTGTCACCTTCTCTGCTGTTTCTCCTCAGAATGTATCCAGTATAGTGTCACCTTCTCTGCCTGTTTCTCCTCAGAATGTATCCAGTATAGTGTCACCTTCTCTGCCTGTTTCTCCTCAGAATGTATCCAGTATAGCGTCACCTTCTCTGCCTGTTTCTCTTCAGAATGTATCCAGTATAGTGCCGCCTTCTCTGCCTGTTTCTCCTCAGAATCTGTCCAGTATAGTGTCACCTTCTCTGCCTGTTTCTCTTCAGAATGTATCCAGTATAGCGCCACCTTCTCTGCCTTTTAACTGTTGTTATTAGTGTTTATTTTATGTTCATCATTTTCCACAGCCATGATTTGATTTTTTTATTTTTGTTATTTGTCAAATGCATTTAACTGTTGTTCCATGTCTGTAGTGGTTCTACAACTTTAACTGTTGTTCCATGTCTGTAGTGGTTCTACAACTTTAACTGTTGTTCCATGTCTGGAGTGGTTCTACAACTTTAACTGGCTTATGTTTCAGTTGAAATCAGATTATAATTGAAAATAGGTTATTTAGTTTTAAAACAATTCCATATTTTATTTAGCTTTAAAAAACTGCTGATGCCTTATCAAATGTGTGTTATCATTTCTTTCTTTGTATTTCCTTCACTATCAAAATTACTAGGTAAATAAATAAATTGTTACTGTAATTCCTGTTGTCTCTAGTATTATATTCACTAGATATGTTACTGGCTTCAGTATATTTCTCTTTTCTCGACTAATTTGTAGTTGTTTATGCAGTAGTTGTGACTTGATGAGAAAACGTGATGATGTTACATGGAAGACACCCGTGTTCTGTTTTTGTCAACTTTCCAGACCAACCTTTGAGGACTATCATTAGGTCCTCCAGCGTTGCATCTGCCACCCCTGGTCCTGTGTCATAGCAGCAGATAAACTGTTCTGTCAGTAACTGTTCTCTTGTGCATATGCCTTCTGTCTGGAGTATTCTTGTGAGGTGTATGTCAGAGAAAGACTCAAGATAGATCCAGTCTTTAATATATTAACAGATGTTTCAGGGGGATAAATGAATGCATTGATTCAAATTTACATACATTAACAGTTGTTTCAGCTGAATTCACTGTCTGGATCACATAATCTTCAAAATTTTGGGCGAATGGCTGGATCACATAGAGAAACTCCCTAGTGTTGGGC